GGTCAATTCTCCCTCTCGTCCTGTCAAAAGTTCTCCTAATATCATCTCCACCAATGTTGGGCCCATTACCTCTTCAAAGTTGAAAGGTTCTGTTAATTACAAGAACTGGGCCACCTCTGTTCGAGTTTGGTTCTTTGGACAAGGACATGGAAACCATCTCACAACCAAATCTACTGATATTCTTAAGGAGGAAAAATCTGATTGGGAAAGGATTGACAACCAGCTCCTGAGTATCCTTTGGCAGTCTATTGATCCAGTCGTCTTGGACATCTTCTATTCTTTTCAAACTTGCACTGAAGTGTGGGAGGAAGCAAAACACCTATACACTAATGATGTTCAGCAGCTCTATTCCATCATGTCTCAGTTTATGGATCTGCGCAAATCATCTGACACTCAGATGGAGACATATGTTGGCAAAAGTCGATCATTGATGCAGGCATATTTGGATATGTTGCCCTACCCTACTGATGCTTCTGCATATCGAAAACAGGTGGAACGTCTCTTTATGGTTGCCACACTTTCTGGTCTCCCCGAAGAAAATGATAATGTCCGAGATACTATCTTGACTAGTGGGGATCCTGATCTATCAATGACGTATCAGCGTCTTCTGAATCTTAATAAGAAATCTGTTCCTGCATCGTCTGCTGTTGTTGATTCCACTGCTCTAGTTTCCCGTACTGACTTTCGCGGGAGCATTGGAAGTGGTCGTGGTAAAGGCCAGGGAGGACGTAGCCCAGGAGGACGTGGTCAGTGACTTCGTTGTTATTATTGTAAGCAACTTGGTCATTATGAGGAATGTTGCTACACAAAGTATCCTCACCTGCGACCTTCTCATGCTGCTAATATAGCTCAATCGGATACTGCTTCAAATGGTACAATCTCTCTCTCCTCTGAAGACTATGCAGCACTCCAGACCCTTCTCAGGAAGGCCTCACCTCAGTCTCAGGCCTCTGCTTCAGAAACTGGTAATCTCATTGTTTGTGTTTCTCATTCTGCATCACTTGGTCCTTGGATATTTGACTCAGGTGCTACTGATCACCTTTGTGGTAATAAGGAACTCTTTTCATCTCTTACATATTCTGACAATTTACCCTCTTTTACTCTTGCTGATGGCACTAAAGCCCCTGTTCATGGGATTGGACAAATTTGTCCAACCTCCTCATTGACCTTGACATCAGTCTATTACATTCCTGATATCCCTTATAGCTTAATCTCTGTTAGTAAATTGATCAACTCTTTTAATTGTATTGTTACCTTCTCAAACCATTCTGTTTCTGTGCAGGATTCGGGTACGGGGAAGACGATTGGAGTGGGCCGTGAGTCACGGGGTCTGTTCTACCTGGTTGTGCCGAGTCCTTCAGTTGCTTGCTCTCTCAGAGAACCTCCACAACTCATTCACAGTCGCCTTGGTCATCCTAGTCTTTCAAAATTGCAGAAGATGGTTCCTCTTTTATCTGGTCTTCAGACTTTAGATTGTCAGTCATGTCAGCAAGGGAAGCACATACGCTCCTCCTTTGCCAATCGAGTCAATAAACGAGTTGATGCTCCCTTTTCAATTATTCATTCAGATATTTGGGGTCCAAGTCGTAGTGTGTCTGTTTTAGGGTTTCGATATTTTGTTACCTTTATTGATGATTTTTCACGTTGTACTTGGATTTATTTAATGAAAAACCGTTCTGAGTTATTTTCTATTTATCAGAAATTTTCTGCTGAAATTCAAACTCAATTTGGTGCTTCTATGCGTATTTTACGTATTGATAATGCTAAAGAATATGTTTCTGTTGACTTTTCTAATTTCTTAGCCACACAGGGTACTTTACACCAAACTACTTGTCCTCACACTCCACAACAAAATGGAGTAGCTGAACGTAAAAATAGACATCTCATTGAGACTGCACGGACTCTTCTTATTCACATGCATGTTCCTCTTCACTTCTGGGCCGATGCAGTCCTTGCCTCTTGTTTTCTCATCAACTGTATGCCTTCATCTGTGCTTAATAATGACATTCCTTATAACTTGTTGCTTCCAGATGTTCCCCTCTATCCTCTATCCTCACATGTCTTTGGTTGTACCTGTTTTGTTTGTGATCTCACTCTAGGTAAGGACAAGTTAACATCCAAAGCCTTTAAATGTATTTTTCTTGGTTATTCTCGTCTTCAAAAGGGTTATCGTTGTTATTCTCCCGATCTTAAGCGTTACTTTGTTTTCGCTGATGTCACTTTTCTTGATCAACAACCCTTTAATTCTATCCCATCTCAATTGTCACAAGTTGATCATATTCTTCCTGTTCCTTTTCTTGACTTGTCTTTGCCAGCTGCAGGTACTTTTATTCCAGATAAGGTCCATACCTGAGGACCGTCCACTTCTCACCTATCAGCGTCGCAAAACTGTGCCTCCTGACGACTCGACTCTTGCTAACTCATCGCCCACTGCAATTGATTCTTCCCCTCCGGCTCCTTCACCAGAGGCTCTTCCCATTGCTCAAAGAAAAGGTACACGTACTACTCGTAACCCTTATCCTCTTTATACCTTTTTGAGCTATGACTGTCTTTCTCCTCCTCATTTCACCTGTTTCTAGTCTTTCTTCTGTTTCAATTCCTAAGACCACAGGTGGAGCACTTTCCCATTCAGGGTGGCGCCAAGCGATGCTGATGAGATGAATGCACTTCATTCCAATGGCACTTGGAACCTTGTTTCTACTCCTCCAGAAAAGTCTATAGTTGGTTGTCGCTGGGTTTTTACTGTGAAAGTTGGACCTGATGGCCATGTTGATCGTCTCAAGGCACGCCTAGTTGCAAAAGGTTTTACTCAAATCTCCGGCCTTGATTATAACAATACATTCTCTCCGGTCGCTAAGATGGCGTCAGTTCGCCTATTTCTTGCTCTTCCTGTTGTTCATCACTGGCCACTCCTTCAACTTGACATCAAAAATGCCTTTCTTCATGGTGATTTACAAGAAGTTTACATGGAGCAACCACCTGGTTTTGTTGCTCAGGGGGAGTCTAGGAAGGTGTACCGTCTTAGCAAATTCTTATATGGTCTCAAGCAGTCTCCCCGAGCATGGTTCAGTCGCTTCAGTTCTGCTGTTCAGGCGTTTGGCTTAATTCTCAGTAAAGTTGACCATTCTGTATTTTATAGGATCATATCTCCTGATAAGTGCATCTATTTGTTAGTCTATGTTGATGACATCATTCTCACCGGGAGTGATCAAGCTGAAATTCGTCAGTTAAAACAGTATTTATTCAGTCAATTTCAAACAAAGGACCTTGGGAAGCTGCGTTATTTCTTGGGAATTGAGGTGGCACAATCTAGACAGGGCATTTCTATCTGTCAAAGGAAGTATGCCTTGGATATCCTAGAAGAGACTGGTATGTTAGGGTGTAAACCAATTGATACACCCATGGATCCCAATGTCAAGTTATTGCCCGGACAGGGGGAGCCGTTATCTGATCCTGGTCGTTATCGGAGGCTAATTGGGAAGCTCAATTATCTTACTGTGACTAGGCCAGACATTTTTTTAGCTGTTAGTACGGCTAATCAGTTCTTTGATTCCCCTTGTGATTCTCATTGGGATGCTGCTGTGAGGTTCCTCCGATACATCAAAGGAGCACCAGGAAAAGGTTTGTTGTATTCGGATCAGGGAAATACAAAAATTTGTGGTTATTCAGATGCTGATTGGGCAGGATCTCCCTCAGACAGGCACTCTACTTCTGCCTATTGTATCTTCTTTGGAGAAAACTTAATTTCTTGGAAGAGCAAGAAAAAACCTGTTGTTGCTCGATCTAGTGCAGAAGCTGAGTATCGAGCAATGGCAATTACTACATGTGAGTTAATCTGGTTAAAGCAGTTGATTCAGGAGCTTCATCTTTGTGAACAGAAACAACCCATGACACTCATTTGTGATAATCAAGCTACGCTACATATATCTTCTAATCATGTATTTCATGAAAGAACCAAACATATAGAAATTGATTGTCATTTCATTCGAGAAAGGATTCAGTCAGGATAAATCAAGACAGCTTTTGTCAACTCTAATGATTAACTAGCGGATGTCTTCACTAAAGCTCTTAGAGGTCCTGGGGTTGAATACATTTGTAGCAAGCTTGGTGCTCACAATATATACGCACTAGCTTGAGGGGGAGTGTTAGAATAGATATAATTAGATATGATTAGATTTGAATAGATTACTTCCTATCTGTAAATATTCTTTTTGGATTAGATCGGGGCTTCTCACTTAAGCCCATTAGGGCCTCTATATATTGTAACTCTTTGTATTAGATTAATACACAACATATTATTTCATATTCAAGTCATACATTGCTCTAATATTTCTAAAGCATATGGCATCTTTCCCTTTTCATTGTAAGATGATTCCACGAGGTGAAAATTGGCCAACACTAGGAATTGATTCTTGACATAATGCCAAAAAAACATTAGTGTCCCCGATTTTCCCACATGAAGCTAAATCATTCATAACATTCTGAACTAATTGAGTTAAGTAGGAAGATGAAGCTGCACCTGAACTACCTAATTCCCAGTTCATAGCAAATGTATCTGTCTCTTTGGCATGGGCGATTTGAAAAAGATCAACATACACAAGAAATCTTATGTTCACAAATTGTAAAAAAATAAAAAGTAAAGATAGATTCAGAGGAGTTGGAGAGCCTTTGATCTCTCCAAGAGCCCAAGTCCCAGATATCCCAAAAAATCCTTTTCCTTGTTGATGATTCACTTTTTTAAGCAGCCTGAGTGGTGCATTCCCTCCTCTCCACCCCATAAACGTTCCCCCCTCTAACAGAATAGGGAATACTATCCCTTGCTGACTCAGCATGCCAAAGAGCTAATGATCTCCTATATCTCTTCCTAAAATACACCTGTATGCTTGGATTCCTATCAATCTACCCTTTCAAGCATTCACACAAGCAATTACACCATCATACATATCCTTGATTGTCTCTACAAGTGGTGACGATGGAAAGAACATAATTAAATTAGGTACCTTTGGAGCAGCCATTGGATACTCTTCTGGCAAAAATAGTTCTAACTTGAAAACTCCTCCTAGTAATGCATAAAAAAAAAATACATATTAGTAAAAACACAATGGGTTAGCATATATGACAAAGAAAAAAGGAATCATAAATATCATCACCATTAGTGATTAATTTAAAAGTAGAAAAGACAATAACTGCACCTTCCCGCACTCCCAAACAGAGAATCAAAAAAGAAGGAATTAACATCTGATATAAGAAAGCATTTCCATGAAAACCCACCATGCAAAGATAAAACTTAATGCTTTACTTCAATGTAATAAATATAACTCAGCATAATCATAATCTAGGCAATGTAAAGAAAACTACCCTTCCTCAACAGGTAATCCACAATTTCATAATATTTTCCCTTTTATATTATTTTGGCAGGAAACATAGTTCAGAAACTCCAGATCCTGTAAAAATAATCAAGCATAATAATGCAGAATGAAAGTAATAATACCCTCAAAAGCCAAAGGTTCTAATCCATGCAGCTAGATAACCACATAAAGAATTGTAGTAATAAAGAGATGCCAGAGATGCAGGCAGACAACACAGATTCCTCATTTTTTTTCTATTAAGTTCAAACCTATAAGGAGCCTTGGCAAAACGGTTGGTGTTTTTGTTATGTGACGTGGAGGTCACCGATTTGAATCATGTAATCATGCTCTTGCTAATAATACAACATAATGCCCCCAAATATAGACCCACGTCAAAATCACAATCCAACACATAAGATCTTGCAATTTTGCAATCTTAGACACCAAAATCGATCTGGAACAGATGTTGGATCACAATTCTTCAAGTTCGCTGGGATTGCCAGGGAAAATCGCAAGATAGTAGGATTGCTAATATCTTGCGATCCTGATAAAAAAACCCACCCATTTTGTTTTGACCCCCTTTTTTAGATTTTGACTTGGTTTAACTTTAAAAAACTCACCCAAATAACATCCAATCTGATGGCAAACAACCAAAAAATAAAAATAAAAAAACCTAGCCAACCCCAAACCTATGATTGCAATAGCGGCGCTATAGCGCGAGATTGCGGTTCTGGTGCGGGTTGCGGCACCCAGACGCAACTTCTGCACCACAACGCCACAGTTTCCGGTAGCAGACGGTGGCGGACAGTAGCGGCAGTGGCGGACGGCAGCTATTCCCATGCTATCGCACCGCTACAGGAACGAGAGGTGGAGTTTCAGAGATCGGGGATGAAAAAAACACGAGGGGCATCGTTTGGGAGATTTGGATCTCAATTAAGGGTGAAATGGGAAGAAAAAAGACAGCTGGATTAATGAGGGGTAAAACAGGTATTTACTTTCGTTTTTTTTTTTCTTCTGAAAAGAAGAGAGGGAAACGTGTCTTCTTTCCCTCCTCTTTTTCCACGTCTTCTTTCTCTCGTTTGTGTCATCTTCTTTTCTACTCTTTTTTTTTTTTGCTGAGAAGAAAACACCCACAAGCATGTTGTTCTGTTGAAGTTCCTGGAGATTGACGTTGAAAACGAACGACGCACTCAGCTTGTTTCTGCAACGCACTCAACCCTTCCTCTGTTTCTGCAACACACTCAGCCCCTCCCCTGTTTCTGTAACTGTTTCTGCAACGCACTCAGCCCCTATTTCTGCAATGCACTTGGCCCCTATTTCTGCAACGCAACTGTTTTATTTTCTAGTTTGTGACTGTTCTGGCTTGAGAGCAATTTTTTCCTTCATCGTTTTCTGGTTTGCAATGCAACAGCCACTCCATTGAAGGCCTTCTGTTTTCTCCCTTATGTTTTGCCACTGTTCTGTTTTTTTTTTTTGCCCCTGCTTTTCTTCAACTCCCATTGTTTTCTGGTCATGGCATAGCAAAATATCCAACAAAACAGCCCAGCTTCCGTGGCTTCTTGCGGATTGGTAAAACCCACAAGTGAAAATCTTGATATGCATGGCAGTGGAATAGTTTAAAAGATATCAATAATAAGAGATATGTAACATGTGATTTTTGTGGGAAAGTTACAAGGGGTGGCATCACAAGAGCCAAAAGACACCAGATTGGGTTGAAGGGGGATGTGGGCCCTTGTAGAAAAATCTCAACAGAAATTAAGAAGATTATGAAAGATGCTTATGTGCAAAAGCTTGCTTATAGTGGGAGGTGAGGTAATCAAGCACACAACTTCGTTCTCAATCAAAATTTTACTTCGGTTTAGTCCTTTACTTTGTTGTTTAATTTTATCTTATGTATTATTTTATTTTTTCAGAAATATGTGTTTTACCCTTTTCTCATTTAAGAAAAGGTTGGCAAATTGCTAAATGACAAAATAAGTGGCTTCTTGCGGATTGGTAAAACCCACAGGTGAAAATCTTGATATGGCATGGCAGTGGAATAGTTTAAAAGATATCAATAATAAGAGATATGTAACGTGATTTGTGTGGGAAAGTTACAAGGGGTGGCATCACAAGAGCCAAAAGACACCAGATTGGGTTGAAGGGGGATGTGGGCCCTTGTAGAAAAATCTAAACAGAAATTAAGAAGATTATGAAAGATGCTTATGTGCAAAAGCTTGCTGAAAAGGATGCATATAGTGTTGATATACATGAAGATGATGATATGTTAGAAGAGGTGCAAGAAATTCAACACATTAAAAATGGGAAAAGGAGTGAGACAGCATCAAGTGAAGCCTCAAATTGTAATACTGCTACTGCTACCAAGAGAGTTAAAGGCCCTTTGGATTTACTTTTTTTTAAAAAAACCAGAAGCAAGCATTAAAGTGGGCAAAGGAAAGAGGCAAACAAGCATAAATGATGCTTGTCATAAAGAAGCAAGGGCTAGAACTATTCAATACATTGAAAGATTTTTGTGTACGAATGGAATAGCTTTCAATGTTGTACGTTCAAAAAGCTTCAAGTACATGGTTGAAGCAATTGGGAATTATGGTCCAAGTCTAAAGCTCCCAAGTTATTACGAGTGCAGAATTCCTCTACTTAAAAAGGAATTGGATTATACCAAGAATTTATTAAAAGATCATGAGGTACAAAGAGCCAACTATGGATGTTCCATTATGTCGGATGGATGGACTGATAGAAAGAATAGGACGTTGATAAATTTCTTGGTGAATTCTCATCTGGGTCTATGTTTGTGAAGAGCATTGATGCTTCTTCTTATGTCAAGAGTGGAGCAAAATTATTTGACCTTTTAGATAATTTTGTTGAAGAGGTCGGGGAGAAAAATGTTGTTCAAGTGGTGACCGACAATGGAAACAATTATGTATTGGCTGGTAAGACAATTTGTTTAATTTAACCTCATTTAATGTTAATTTTTATTTTATTTGTTACTCATTTTAGGTTGTTTAACTTGTTCTTAGGCAAATTGTTACAAGCGAAGAGAGAAAATTTGTTTTGGACTCCACGTGCTGCACATTTTTTGGATTTGATGCTTGAAGATATTGGAAAAATTGAGAGTTAAAAAGCAATACAAAAAGGCATCAAGCTTGTTGGGTTCATTTATAATCACACATTGGCATTGAACACAATGAGGAAGTATACAAGCAAGACTGAATTAGTTAGGCATGGAGTGACAAGATTTGCTACAACTTTCCTCACATTGCAAAGGCTTCATAAGCAAAAAAATAATCTTAGAAAGATGTTCACATCAGATGATTGGCTAAAATCAAATACAGCAAAAGACCCTAAGGGAAAAAGGGCGACTGACACTGTACTTATGCCATCATTTTGGAATGATGTTATTCATTCTTTAAAGGTTATGGGGCCTCTTGTGCGGGTGCTTAGACTTGTTGATAATGAAAGAAGGCCCGCAATGGGATATATATATGAAGCAATGGATAAGGTCAAGGAAGCAATTCAAAAGTCTTTAAATGGAAATGAAGATAAATATAGGGATGTTTTTGCTATAATTGATAGAAGATGGGACTGCCAACTCCATCATCCATTACATGCTGCAGACCATTATCTAAACCCCGAATACTTTTATGCTAATCCAAACATTGATGATGATGCTGAATTGATAGTTGGACTATATAAATGCATTGACAAGCTAAGTGCAAATGAGGAAGAGGTGGACAAGATACATGGACAATTGAAAAAATATAAGAGTGCAGAAGGCCTTTTTGGTATGAATACAGCAATAAGACAAAGGAATAAAATTGCTCCCGGTAAGTAAAAGCACACTTATTTGATCACTTTAAGCTTTTATTTAACAAGTGGTAATGTTAACAAGTTGCAATTTGCATTACAGCTCAATGGTGGAAGTTATATGGAGCACATGTTCCAAATTTGCGAAACCTTGTTGTTAGAGTGTGGGGCTTAACTTGTAGCTCATCGGGATGTGAGCGTAATTTGAGTACTTTTGAGCATGTAAGTACTTGTTAAATGATTTTTGTTTGTAGAGTTTCATATCATGATTGTGAAACTAATATTCTTTATTAGAAATTGTAAACTAGATTCATTCTAAGAAGAGAAGCAGGCTTGAGCATCAAAGGTTGCAAGACTTAGTCTTTATTAAGTATAATCAATCTCTTAAAGAATGTTTTGAGAGCCGTGATCTGGTTGATCCTATTGTCCTAAAAGACATTGATGAAAGTAATGAATGGTTGGTGGGAGAAATGGGTGAAGATGCAGAAAATGAGTTCGTTTTTTATGATGATACATTAACTTGGGGAGATGTTGCTAATGTAATTGGGGCTAATGAGCCTATAACTTACACTAGGCAGCATACTAGATTCAGGAAGGAAGCTGCCTCTATGCCATCAAGCTCTAGGGGAATAAGGGCTGAACAGATTGAAAAAGGTGATAACGAAGAAATAGAAGATGAGGATGAACAAATCTACAAATTTAATACTAGTGAAGAAAGTGAGGGTGGAGAAGAACAAGGCTTTGAAGAAATGTTTGATGATGATTCTGATTAGTTCTTTTCCTTCTTGATTTTGATAGAGCAATTTGTATTTGACTCTACTTGGATCCTTTATATTCCTAGAATATTATTAATTTAGTTTCCTTCAATGAACTAGTATGTTGCTTCCTTTATGTTCCCTTTAATCCTTGTTTTGAATGTGTAGTATCATACTTTTCATTACTTATTTCCTCCTATTTTGGGTGATTTCTTATCTTATAGCATTTATATAGAATTTATATATGTGGTATAATTTATTATAAGTATTTATATGGACTTCACAGTAGCGGTTTTACCGCTACCCGTTATACCGCTATAGCGTTTTTGGGGTCGGCCGCTACCCGATATTTAAAACTATGCCCCAAACAGCCCCAAATCCCTAATCTGACCTTTGCGAAGGTTATGCCACTGCATGCAACTTGGTCTTCTCATCTACTTACCCGTGACTTGATTACATCTAAGTATGTGAATACCTATTCTTCCTTTTTCGGTTGTCTTCTTTGTTTTTTTTTCAGCTCTTGGGTTTTTTATTCTCTCTTCATTTTTTCTGTTTTCTTCTAGTCATTGGGATTGTACTTCAAGTTTCTTATTCTCTCTTTTGTTTTCTTCAATTTTCCAGGGTTTGTTTAGTTGTTTTCTCCCTTTTTTTTAGTGTAGCACCTTCAAATATTTGTTTTCATGTAGCTTATCTTTTTTTTCATAGTGTTTTTTTTTTATGTAGCTTCTGCTTTTTATTTTGTAGCCTCTATTACAAAAACCAATCCGTTCTGTTCTTGTTTGTTTATTTAGAACTATATACTGCTAACAGATCCTAATATTGATTCTTTCCTTGTTGATTGTTTTTTCTAAACCTACATTTTGATCTGTACCCACTTACACAGGTAGCTAGTTTGAATTGTCTTTTAGGACTCAAGTTGTGAGTTAAATGTTACTTTATATGCATAATTATTATTTTTTATTTAAATTGGAAAGGTAAGATCTTTACGATCCGTGTTCGGTTGATCCCACGATTTATGATTTTGCCACCCCCTCCCGATCTTAAGTACGATCTCCATTTTGACTACCTTGCCCACAATCACACACAATGAGTCTGAACCTTCCCTGGACCTTGCGCAAAGGAAGAGCTCTATAGCAACATGTAGTCCTTTTATGTTTAAACCTATACTAACAAATTCAAAAGCAAGCCACATAAAGATTCCAAATGGAGCATAATTACCATGAGCATATAATAATAACTAGTGCCATTAAACTTCATAGAAAACAATAAGACTCAGCTGTAAAGCCAGTATTCAACACAAAGTAATAAGACAATAAATTGCTGAGAGAACTGGTAAATATAAACTAATACTCCTCGTGTCACAAAAAGTACGCCCAGAAAAACTACCAGAAACATTCTCTATAACTAGGCCACAAGCAGAGTAAGACAATTATCATACAGATAATCAGATATATAATAAAATGTAATCAAATGGAATTTTCAAGGCCGAAAATCATTCCCAAATTACATTTGACTGTAGAACATGTTTGTTTATGGGAATTCTCCATGTTCTCCCTAAAAATACCCAAATCAAATCGAAATTTATTCCACGTTATTATTAAGTATTGTTTAAGCAGAGACAACATATTAATAAGTATTTTCAGGCAGCATAATCAAGCTGATAGCCTGAATACTACCTTCATAAGGTGACTGGGTTGGCCCAAGGATCATCACATTGAAATATCGCATATTGTCTTCAGAAGGGGAAGCACTAATTCCAGGTGCTGCATCAGGAGATGACCATAACATTAGGCACTGATGCACAAGCGGAATAAAAACAGAAAGGTAACACATTACAACCCGTGCATCGTTATTTGAATTATTAAATCACCAAGGTAATAACATTCAAGATATCTCAGACGATACTAGATAGAGCCCAAAAAACATGGACAAGCACTACCAATTCACCTGAGGGCGAGCTTATAAAGCACTAAAACCACGAGGAAAATTTTCAAATATCAAATAAAGCAACAAAGAGAAAGTGCGAATAGGAAGTTACCTGGCTCACTAAGCAAACGCTGCGTTTCCTGTTGATAACAAAAAAAAGAAAAAAGAAAAAGGAGTGATCAAAACATTCCCAAAGACCAAAGTTCAAATACAAAATTTAGAAAAACCTCAGAACCACACTTTGCTTCCAACAAAGATCAAAAGCAAAAGGGGAACTGAATCCCCAGATTTTTGACACCTAAGACCATTTTTTTTTCATAATCGCAGCTGAATTTAAGCAATATAAAGTGGAAATTGACTGCACAGTTTTTCGTTCAAAACCATGACCGGATTTCGAGTTCCTTTCGTTTTCTCAGCAACCAAACAAATCGATCAGAGAAATTGAAATTGGGATAACAACAATGGAATGGGTACGAACCTTGATTATTCTTCTAGGGAGGTTACTGTTCGCCATTATCGGGTTCGATTGTAAAGCACGCAATAGGGTTCTTAGAGAGAGAGAGTTTCTCTCACTAAAGCAAATGAGAGGAAACTTAAATATGGATTTGATTGGAAATCTAGGAACCTGAAAACTTCTTTATTTTCGATTAGCAATCATTTTATTAAAAAAAAAAGTAAATAAATATCGTTTTCGGTCGACACTAAATTTTACGATAGTCGCTTTAGTTCCTAGCAAATAAAAATACTATTTATGGTTTCTAAGAAATTTAAAATGGATCCATTTTAGTCTTTTTCAAGAATTAATGTGGGTCTTTTTTGAATTTATGAGGGACCACGATTTCAACTAAATGGATCCATTTTGAATTTTTTAGGGACCACGAATAGCCTTTTTATTTGCTAGGGATTATAGCGGACACCGTAAGAATTGCTGAGGACAAAAAAAATCAACAACATCAACATCAACAACACATTTATCCCAAATTAATTGAGGTCGGTGAAGATGAACCCAAATGAAAGATACAAAAGGTTGAAAAAAAAAACATAAAAGTAAAAATAAAAATAAATAAATAGAATAGTAATAATATATATATGGGAAAAGTGTTTGTAATTTTAAATGACATAAAGTTATGTCATTTTAAGAGAAAGACAGACACAGAATATTTGTTTTTATTTAAATTTTAAATTAAAAAACCATTCACTTTCTCTTTCCCATGATTTTTATTTTTCTGTGTCTATCTCTCTCTTAAAATGACATAACTTATGTCATTTAAAATGACAAACATCAAACCTTATATATATATAAATAAAAGTAAAAAAAGAAAGGGAAAAGAAGAAGAGGGGGAAATGAAAGGGAAAAGGACTAAAAATGGACCTTTTTTTTCTCTTTAGGCTTCTGCCCTCTCTTGTACTAAAAAAAAAAAGACTAAAAATAAACCATCTGTAATATAGGAATAACAACGGGTCTAACCTTCCACCATGCTTATAGCTTTTCTCCATTCGGTTCTAAAGCATACCGTCCGCCAATCTATATCTCACTCCATTAAATATTGTTTTACTACATTCTCCCAAAAGTAAGTTTCGGTCTACCTCTACCTCTTATTGTGTTGAGCTCTAACAAACTTCTGTTCTCATGGGAGCATCCAGGGGCCTTCTCATTACGTGCTCAGACGACCTCAATCTATGTTCTCTCATCTTCTCAGCCACCGGTAGTACTCTTACCTTTCGTCGAATATCTTCATTTCTTATCTTATTCATCCTCGTATAACCACACACCCACCTTAACATCCACGTCTCGGAAGACCAAAAAAAATATTTACTCAAAAAATAATCACTTTTTTGGTTCTCGCTTTTATTTGTTTTTAATTTTAGAGAGTATTAATTTTGCAGTTATGGTAAGAATAATAGAGAAAATGTTTTTTTTGTATGTGCTATAAGTATTATTATTTCTGTCACGGCTATAAAAATAATTATTTCTAATTTAAAAATTCCCATAAGTAATACTCTCTTAATTTTATTATCTTTACCGATTACCACCACTTATTATTATTATTATTATTATTATTATTGTGAGTTAAAATTAATGTTAATTAAATCAGAAAATTTCTTAACTACTTACGTCATTCTTTCTTTCCAAGAATGACATCTATCATTATTAGTTTAATTTTAATTCAACTTCTCCTTTAATTAATTATGAATATCTTTCTGTTTAATTTTAAATTTTAAATATATTTTATCTCAATCTATAAGTTTTACAATATTTGTTGAATTTAAAAAACTATACATTGGTAAAATACTCCTTAGTTATTACCATTTATTTATATTTATAATTTTTAAATATAATAATAACTCACTTGTGAAAATGAAAACTGATTTTTATATGATTGAAAACTCATTCCTTCTTCTTTAATTTCTCCTTTTGGTTTTTGTTATTTAAAAAATATATTTAAAACGTGTTGATCAAACATCTAATATATACGTATGGTTCTCTGGCCTTAGGTTTTTTATATGAACTTATAAAGTTTAAATAAAATTTTAGTTCATATAATTTTTGCTTATTTAAGTTTTGGTCAGCATAGTTCATTTTTATATATTTATCCTAAGACCTTAATAAATAGAAAGTTATGAAGAGTAATTTGTTATAAAAAAAATATAGACAAATAAAATAATAAATAAAAAATAAAATAAAAATAAATTTTAAATAAGTGAAAATTATAAATATTTCATAATAAAAATTATGATTTAAACAAATAAAAATGTAGAAGTTAATAAAGAATAAATAGAAGAAAACTTAATATTATAAATATTATGTTAAAGTAATGTTACCAACCACTATTGTTTTAAGCGGTAAGTAACATATTTCTATGTATAAAAAAAAATAAAGTAACATATTTCTGAAGAATAGATGAAGAAATTAAAAAAAAAAGTTACAAAAACAATAATTATAAAATGAAAAATATAAAACCACATCTAAAAGCATGTTTGTTATTTGTCAAACGAAAAAAAATAGTATGTAAAAAAAAATTCAACGTAATTGAACAAATATTTTGAAAAAATAAAAAATAATTTAATGGTTTTCCCAAAAAAAGTAAAATAAAAGGATAAATTATGATTAAAAAATCATAAAAAATATATATTAAGTTCTTATGAAAAAACCTTATTTAGATATAATTCCAACTCAACAACTTAGAGTGTGCATGACAATAATTATGTTCTCTGGCATTGTTTCTTAAAATAAACAATTCTTTTTTATTTAGGGTGTGCATGACAACCTTTTTGGAATCAATTTTTTTATTTAATTTTTGTTCTCGGGAGCAGAAATGGATAGAAAACTCGTTTGATAAAAATTGGTTTATTTTTTTGTTCACGGGATGAACCGGTTTAATTTTTGTGTTGTGGAACAAAAAAAGAATAAAAAAATTTATGTTTTTTTATTCCCGGACACAAAATGAGAAACATTTATTTCTCTCAATCACTTTCTACCACTATCATCATCATCACCACTATTATCATCCCGACACAACCACCACCACCATCCGCCGTCGTCGTTGTACCACTAATGTCGTCGTCACCACCACCACCTCCACCCATCACCACCATCATCATCGCCGCCACCGCCACTCCCTTCACCGTCACCACCACCATCGTTATCACCACGCCATTGCCACCACCACAACGCCGACACTTCCACCACCGTCACTAACTACCACTACCATCGCCGCAGCCACTGCCATTACCATCACCACCATTGTCGCAGCCACTGTCAGCACCACCACCACAATTGCCACCACCGCTACCACTACCATCATCGTCACCACCACCACCACAACGCCACCACTTCCACCACCTCACTAACCACTACTACCATCGCTGCAGCCACTGCCATTACCATCACCACCGCTGCAGCCACTGCCATCACCACCACCACCATGCCATCACCACCGTCACCAACCACCACCATTTTCGCAACCACTTTCATCACCACCATCGCCACCACTACCACCACCACTGCCACCATTACCACCACCACTACGCCGTCACCATTACCACCACCATCATCGCAGCCATTGCCGTCACTACCACTACCATCACGCTACCACCACTACCAACACTGCCGCTGCCACCACCATCACCACCATTACCATCACTGTCGCCGCCACCACCACCACCACACCGTATCGAAAGGAAAGTGATAATCTGAAGAAAAACATATGCTTAATAGGAATTATTTTTTATTATATTATTTATTGTGTTATCAAACGCAATTCTCATTCTCAGAATAAAAATAGAATATGTTATCTAACACATCTTTTTCTCAAAACTGTTCCAAGGCACAGAAATAGAAAAGAATTGTTTCTTTACAGAAACAGTGACAGGGAACAGAATGATTGTCATGCACACCCTTATCTGCCTTGGAATAGTTTCTGAGGAAAAAAATTTGTTTGAAAACATGTTTTATTTTTATTCCAAGAATGAGAATTGCGTTTGATAACACAATAAATGATATAATAAAAAACAATTCCTATTAAACATAAAAAAAAAATTCGAATCATCATTTTCCTTTTTATATGGTGTGGTGGTGATGGTGGCAGCGGTGGGGTGGTGACGACAGTGGTTGTGATGAGGGTTATGGTTGGTGGCAGTGGTGGTTATAACAACCATAATTCTCAAACTATGTGAAATAGAGAGTTAAGTGAGATAGTGTGTGAATTTTGTGACTGTTAAGAGAATTCTAACAGTTGAATCATGAAACTACTATGATAATGAATGTGAGGATACAATTCATACCTAACAAATCATTTAGAACCTAAAAAGAACATAAGTTGTGTTTAGAGACATAAATGCAGAAATTGTGGTAACGAAGGTATTTTGGTAATTTTGTAAAATAGGTCTGAACTGAGTTCTAACAGTCTAGTTAAATTCTTTGATGAATTTTAAAGGTTATATATGTGTCAAATTCAATTAAATGACATGTAGAATAATTTAAAGAATTAGGTCAAAGATTGATTAATTAAAAAGTCAACTAGGTTAAAAGTAAGCTTTAACTTTACACCTAGGTTTAATTCTTGGCCAAAGATGATTGTCTTGCTTTGTTTTCTATTTGTTATGTGTAATTATGTTATTGTGTGATTGGTTGGTCAAAAGTTCAAGTGTGTGATGTGTAAAGTGAAAACCAATAAAAATTAAGTTACATTTTACATGTAAAAGTCAAATTTTGAGTGTTAAACTATCTTTACATGTGCAAGTCTGTTTGTTTCCCTTCGTTGGTGTCTTCCATGATGCAAAACTAATTTGGGAGAGTGGGAGACTTGTCTTAGAAGTTTGGCTAAAGTGTGATAAAAATATCTAAGTGAAAAAGTGAAAAAGTAATGGAAACTTAACCATTAAGCCTTTGAATTTCAAACCACTTGTCATATTTTCTTTCTTTCTTCAAGAGACATAAAATATCTTCTTCTTCTTCTCCTTCATGACCGTAGCTTTCAGAGTGGGAGACTTGTCTTAGAAGTTTGGCTAAAGTGTGATAAAAATATCTAAGTTAAAAAGTGAAAAAGTAATGGAAACTTAACCATTAATTGAATTTCAAACCACTTGTCATCTTTTCTTTCTTTCTTTCTT